TGTGCTACATCATTCTATTATCTTTTAAATGTAAAATGTTTATCCACTGAGAGCGTGCTACATCAACCTGCTATCTTCTGATATAAAATGTTTATCCACTGAGAGCGTGCTACATCAACCTGCTATCTTNGATCGTGCTACATCAACCTGCTATCTGATATAAAATGTTTATCCACTAAGAGCGTGCTACATCAACCTGCTATCTTCAAAGAACAAAATGCTAAAAAAATCAATGCTACCAAAAATAGTTATATATAATAATTTATTGATAAAACATGATACATTTAAATACATGTTTGTATAATTTGAAGAATGATCAAAATAGGAAGGATAACGTTTGTTAATACAGCATCTTAACATCATTAGATACTTTTTAAATGTAATGTATATATACTCAAATGCGACACACTGACACAAAATCACAGTTTAGAGAAATTTGATGTCTTCATAGAAATTTTCCAGTTGAAGCTTTCAGTGTATTTATCGCTGATGTATTTTGATAACAGAGAACTGTCAATCTTATGTAGCTTATCTTAGTAGAAGTAGTGTGGACAAACTTAAGTCCACAGACACACAGACAGACAGACTCCCTAATTCCTTTTCACTTTTTCACCTGCAGTACAAAATAATCTCAAACAAGTTTCTGCTACATCCTAACTTTAAATTGCAGAAACTGTTTCATCAAAAGATTCCTGTTTGAGATCCTCTTCTTAGGGTAAATCAACAAATCCAGCTATGTTACAAGGCCTACACTTCACCAACGCAGCTGCCATAATAGATTTATACAAAAACATCAATATTAGTGTCCAATTAACTGGTCGCAACGCATATGAAAAACTTGAAAGGGGAAGTCACTCTAAGTCAGAAAAACGCCTTTTGGTTACTTCTTCAGTGTAGAAGGAAGAATATACCAAGTACAAACAATTTAGAGAGGAACTCTTCATCGTGATTGTGACTGATTCAGTGGTACCCTTTACCTTAATAGCTAAAACAAAAAACACTGACAACACATACCAGACGCTATATCCGACACTAAATTAGGACCACCAATTCCTATAGTGATCGACTTCCAACACCAACACAGACAAATGAAATATGAAAGAGTCGTTCAAATTGGAAAAATAATAAACCAAATTCTATACTTGCTGAAAAGTCATTTCTTTCGTATTTAACCATCACAAGGAGTTTGGATGTTTTTTGTATACACATTTGTATATAAACTTAACACCACAAAACATCAGTTTTATACATGCGTTGGTAGACGGGATGTATTTTTTTCAACCCTTTATGGAATTAGTTGCCAAACCTGATGATGTACTGTATTCTGTATTGATCAGACTCCTTGACTAAGATTGTATGATCACAAACATTTCCCTTATGATGTTATTTCTTTAAGGTGGCGGTTTTCTAAATTTTCTTTCTGTTTTAGATTTTCAGGTTATGATCTGTAACAAAGTGTAAGATGCTTAATTACTCCTCCATGAAATGTAAGTGCATAAATGACCATGGTCAATGTTCATTTTGCACCAAAACAAAGATTAATTTCCAAGTAGAACTAAACATGACTTAATTTGGACGGGCATATTTTGTTCCGCCTCTGCATACTCTTGTTGTATGGTGAAATTGCAAATATCGGTGATGAATAAATGTAACACTTTGAAAGCTCATTCATTCAGTTTACATGTATTTGTTTACCACCAAAGCTGATATCAATGACATAGATAGGTTTCAAATGAAAAATATGTAATATCGAATGTATTACAAAAATGAGCCAAACATTTTTGAAACTGATGTGACATATTTTTTCTGGTTTGTATTTATTTATTTAACTCCAGAATAGTCCGTCTGATACCAAAGCTCTTCTAAGCTAGAACTTGTACAGAAATTCTACCACCATGCAGTTTGTTCCAGTGGCCATGTGCTGAACCTGTCACCCTGAATGTGTGTTTGATCCTAGGTACTCCAGTAATATCCCTAGGAAACATACCAAGTTATCTCCCTTTGGTCTCATCATACGCAGTAATCAAACATCTCACAGAAAATCCAGTTTAAAAACAAACTTCCAAACTTCTGCACATTAGGAATAACTGTAGGTTGAGCCATTAGAAGCCCTGGACAGGCATGTTATACAGTGCCGATTTGTCAACTTGGTTCACTTGTATCTCCTTGAACTGTACACTAGGTTCCCGGGAGTAAGCTGGTAATTCTGAAAGACAGGAATAGTATGTGAGTTACAAGGATAACAAAAACATTGACAAAGTATGATATGCAAGATCACAAATGCAAATATATTTATGATGAAAAAACTATGTTACTGTATAGCAATTTAAAGTAAAACATATTTCATCATAAAAGGTACGCATCTTTCATTTATTGTAAACAATGGGAGTGTCTTGGTGTTAACAATTTACACTTTATTATTTATTGTCAAGAACAATCAGTGACAAAATGGTTTTATTATGTATGACAATTGAAGTTGAATTGAGTGTCTCAGCCAATTAGAGACATATGTATCGCTCAAAGTATTCAACAAAGTTGACCCCGTAAAACTCAGGTTAATAACCTTTGTTGTCTCAGCAGATTAGAGGCCTTAGCAGCCATCTTGAATAGAGAAATTTAAAAGCCAGCAACTAAGAATATATCCCCATGTATCACTCCTACAAAGCCTCACAACGTTTGACAAAACTCAAACTGTAACCAGGATTGTCTCAACCATGAAGATGTGATACTGGTGGCCATCTTTAGTTAAAAAATTAAAAGTTGGCCATTCCATGTTAATTAGTTTGTCCCCTACAAATCAGTCCAAGAAAGTTTCATTATGATTGGTCACATGATATTAACATAACTTGGACAAGTTGATATTGGTTTATTACTTTAGAAAGAGTTCTTCAGAGAGAGGACAGAAAGAGAAGCTGATACAGTTTATATTCCCCTACCTTTGTTGCAAGGGGTGTAACTGTAAGACACAACAGGTGGTGACGAAGCATACATGTACACTACAACAGGTGGT